CCAAATATGTTTCTGTTGAAGAGCATTCATCTCCTCCCTGACGGCAGCTTTCCATACTGGATTTATTAAGGCAGCAACCTCAATAGTAGATGGAAGTTGTTGATTGGCCAGGGCCATAGCAAATGCTCTGTAGGTTGGTGATAATCTGAAAAGAGAGATATAGTTTGTCATGGGATAGAGAGAGTCATTATGATTGCATACCTTACTAGAGGAGTTGACTTCCTCATTTGGAGTAGGAACAGTGATTGGGATGTTGTCAAGAGGGGATTCAGGGTCCAGTAAGGGGTTAGCATGCTCCAGAGTAGGTGCATCAAAACGAGTAAGACGGGTGTGGACACAGAGAGTGGAAGGATGTGCCATTGAAACCAAAGGGACAGAGGACTCCTTAGTGGTAGGAGAAGTTGGTGGAACCACAGAAACAGAGGGTTCCTCGATAATAGGTGACGTGGGGGGAACATTCATAGGAGTAGAGTAGGGAACAGTGTCCAAGAACTCAAGCTCCTCATCACTAGAGGGGAGTAAGGAAAGTAGGGAACACTTTCAAAAAAATGACATCAGAACTTACATAGACCTTATTTGTGATAGGATCAAAACACGGATACCTCTTATGAGTGACAAAGTATCCGAGGAAAACACATTTTATAGACTTTAGATCAAGTTTACTCCAAGTTGGGACTGTGTTCCGAACAAAGACTGTGCACCAAAAAATTTTGCGATCTAAAGTAAAGAAGACTTGATTGTTAGAAAAACAAGATCTTAAGACAGCTAAAAAGATACGGAAGTTATGAATTTTTTTGGAAACTCTATTTATAAAATAAGTTGCGATAAAAACTACATTCCAGATTGTTTTGAAATATTATAGTGAAATATAATGGAGCGAGAAAATCGAAAAGATGTCGGTTTTTTCTCTTGACTATCCCATTTTGTTGAGAAGTATCGATACACGAGCTATGATGGAGGATGTCCTTACTTACCAAGAATTCTCCTAATATATAATTAAAAAATTCACAACCGTTATCAGCCCGAAAGACTTGAATAGGACTTTTGAATTTGGTCATGTGTGAAAGTTTATTAAAGTGACAGCAGTTTCAGATTTATCTTTTTAAATATAGACTCATATCATTTAAGTGTGGTCATCAATCAAAGTAAGGAACTACCGTTTATTGGTGTAACTAGGAGTGCGAGATGATCCTCATAAAGTGGTGTGAATAAGATAGAAAGTAGCAGAAGGTGTGTAATTATGGGGTGGATAAGAAATACGGTAATGTTAGCTAATTAACAGGTATCATGTTTAAAATTAGAAAGATTTTTATCAGTAAACATCATACAACTATTTTAGATATTGGAAACTAGGATGACCAAAGTGAAAATGTAACAAAATAATAGAGCATTCAGTGAACTGAGATAAACTGTAACTGCTATGTAGTCTCCTTATTCACCATGATTTCCTCATAAAAGAAGTAGAGTCTGTCAACCCACTTAGCAGTTTCAATCATGCTCCCCAAATTAAGATTCTGAAAGACACAAACAATGAAAGAAAAATGAGCAACACAATCAATGTCATATGTGATAGATAAAATGTTATATCTCAAAAGAGGTACATGCAATACAAATTCTAAAGTTAAACATGTTTAAACAACAAATCCTTTACCAACATTGAAACTTTGGGAACCGTCAGCAATTTTAATAGTATCTCTTCCTGAACAAGGATAGTATGTTGAGAAGGCTTGAGAGCTTCCATTCATGTGATATGTGGCACCAAAATCAATGATTCATTGGTACCTTGACGAACGTGAGAAGTCGACAGCCCGACAGAGAGCAGACTTGATCCAAGTAGCTTGATTAAGTGCTCCATTTAACTTTTAGGAGAATTAGAGAAATCTGGATTGTTTTGGGTAGAGGCCAGCAATATTGTGTTGGATTCAGATGTCATAGGAAGACCCTTGGCAGTGGAAGATTTGGTTGAAGGTTTGGAAGAAAATTTTCCATGGAGCTTCCAGCATTTATCACGAGTGTGGTTGGGTTTACAGTATAAATCATAAGTGGAGTGACCAGTCTGGGTTGAGCACAATTAGAGACCCAGGTGAACGATTCGACAAACGGAGTGGAAGTACCGAGCATGATAAGTCTCCGGCTCTCTTCATGACAAATCTCAGTGAAAGCAACGCGAGTAAAAGGAAGAGATGTGCCAAGGATACGACCCCGGACTTTGTCAATATCTTTGTTGAGGCCCGCCAGAAATTGTAACATATGGTCCTTTTATACAATTTTTTGGAAAAGAGGCGGATCAGCCGGAGATTCCCAAGTGTAGTCATAATACAGGTTGCATCCATCCATAACGCAACTAAATCATTGTAGTACTAGGTCATGGTCCTCGATCCTTGTTTTGGTTCACGGATTTTCTTAAATACCTCATAGAGTTGGTTGGAATTCAATATATTTGAGTAGATATCACAGACTGTCGTCCAGAGGGCACTAGCAAAAAGAAGAAACATATATATCAGCCAATAGAAGTTTTCATGGAGTTGATCAGCCACGACATAACCATGAAATTCTCCAATTCCCAGGCTCCATATGCTAGGTCAACATTTGTAGGTTCACAAATCACACAAGTAAGATGACCGAATTTCTCACGTTCTTTGATGAACAAGGACACAGATTGGGATAGGAAAAAGTTATTGTCGTTCAACAAATGAGTTGAGATCAAGAAATTCATGTCGGTCTGCACGAGAGCAAGATTTGTAGTCAATCTTCTGCTGGAGTCAAGAACGCCTTCTGAGGGTGATTCATTGAAGGAATCAGTCATAATTCCGACTGAGCAAAAAAATATGTTGTTGAGGTTCTGAGTAGTCAATCTATTCCGGTAGAATCACGACAAATAGATACAAAACAGATAGCAGTAACTGCAGAAATTGAGGGATCCTTAAGCAGAAGAAGCCTGCAATCTAACGAAACCTCTAGGATTGCGAACAATCTACAAAATAAGAGTGAACAACTACAAACAAGAAGAAACCTGTTGTATGTTCGTAGAAACCTGTTGTTCCTAGCGAAACAGAAAGGAGCGGAATAAAAGCAGACAGGGAAAAACCTATTGTCTGGAATCCCTGTTGTTCCCAGTGGAAAGAGAGTAGGCATGACGAAAACTTTTGGAATTCTTGTTGTTCGCTAGACCTGACATAAGAGGCTACCAGTTAGGTTGTGGTGGCGGCGGCTGCTGAAACCGGACTAGGAGGCCGGGGGCTGCTAGATTTAGGGTTGAACTCTGATCACATGTTAGAATAGAACCCAAGGTAATACTTATTGATGCAAAGAAGGGGTATAAATATCCATTACAGGATACACTAGTCAGGAAACAAATAAAACCAGGATAAAGGAATAAATGAAAGAAAATAAAAGCAAATAATGTCATTAATACAAAATTTTGTATTAATAAATATTCTAATATTCTAATAATTTTATATATTTTTATGGTTGAGGCAATAAACCTCCTTCCATTAATAAGTTGAGGTCTTAGACATTGAAGGGAGACCAAAAAGAAGAACAAAGATGGACATCAAGAAAATCAAGAGAGCCTGGTCATAAACTAAAGTTACAAGCATGTCTAATGATAAAAAATAAAATAAAAGTTAATCGATAGTTTAATAAGCAATCCCTATAACATTATATTTCAGAAATCTATGAAGCATCAAATCAAATGAAGTAGAGCACATTTTCAAACAAATAAGTAAAATTGTAAAGGATATTGGAGAGCATCTAATGATCAAAATGATCACTAACAATGTAAGTGCTTATAACATTGAGAAATAAATTGATGAAGGAAAAAATGTATTTACTAGACTCCATATATCACACATTATATCAATTTAATCCTTAAGAAAATGAATAGTTGCCTTGGCTTAAAAATATCCTGATTAAAGGTAAAAATATTAGTAATTTTAATTATAGTCATAATTGAGTCTCATCAACGACTAAGCTCTCTGAGAAAGAGTTCACTAGAACTACATATACTAGATTTGTTATGGTGTACTTAACTTTTTAAAGTGTATACTATGATAACTCTACTTTCCAAAAATTAGTTGGTAGTAGATTACAACTCTTGAATTACAAAGATTTACAATCAATGAACTCAATCTTACATGCTCATAATCATGGTGTGAGTGAAATTGGATTAAAGGACAATCTCTACAAATACTCATGATTGGACCAACATTCTGTCTTCTCACCATGAAATTCGCTTATTTCACATTCACCTATCAAATTGGCAATGTATCGCAAAATTGCAGCAAAAATTACAAAAAACTAAGCAACGAGAAACAAATCAAAGCAAAGAATTAGAATTTAACCAGGTCTCAAAATTATATTACCAAAAGATATGTTGCATAGCAAGCATAACGATCACATTTTACTGCCACTCAATGATGCGCACCTTGAGAAAAATGATTTTCATAGTAAAATGCAAAACAGAACTTAAAACTATAGGTGCCCTTTTCCCCTGTTTTTCCAATTCACCCACTTGTGTTTTAGGTTAGACACCGTGGGGCAAGCTAAAGAGTGGTTCCAAAATGAGCAAAAAATAAAGACAAAAAATCTAGTCACATAGAAATAGAGAACGAAAAAGAAGCCATCATCCTTCGACTAGAATAATTACGCAGCGTTCAACTGAAATTCTGCTAATGCACACAGACCTCTTTTAGACAAAGAAACCTCCTAAAAATTTTCATTGAAAAAGGACTATCGGAAGACTTTCTCATCAAATGACACCCTAAAGCACCATACTTTTTCTTCACAAATCCACCAGTCTGAAGGTCAGTCTTAAAAAAATATTTGCAACCAGACAGAGAAGAACAAAAAGCTCAAAAAACCAGTATTCAAATATGTCCAGGGATTTGAAAGTGCCGATAACTAGAAGAGCAAAAAAATTGATATTATTAAAAAAAATTTAAATACAATCGTGACGTGCAAGTGGTAAAAAAATGGAACAATTAGCTAATTTGAAGTACCTGCAAGAGCTGGCAATCCTAGTAAGACCATCAGTCGAGAATCCGGAACACTTATCCAATTTCAAAGACTGTAGCACATGGCCGCGAGCACGAACCAGGACATCAATATCCGCATCTGTTACGATCATTCGACGAAGGTGGAGTGCTTTCAGGCACACAAAATCCTCCGAGGCGATTTCATAGATCCAAGGCCCAGCATATCCTCCCCAGTCCTCGGGTATGATATTAAAAAACATGGCCGCCCGGGGCTTCCCCTTGAGCTTGAGCGACTCCAACCTGGGGAACCTCTCCCGAAGCCTCTGCGGAGTAGTTGAGTAACAGATAGCGATCGTCACATGCTTCCTCGTGAGACAATCGCATCGATACCACTTCTTGCAAACCAGCGAGATGGCCCCCCTATCGCAAGCTTCGTCGATGTATCCCATCACGCATTCAAGAGCCAAATCCGATATACCAAAGCTCAAAGCTCTAGGCAGGTGGTTCCGATCCTTCATCTCCGATCCACTCCACTAGAGTGTCTCACAGCCACAGAATTCAAGCAGATTCGCAAACAAAGCTCAGTTCCTACGCCGTAAAACCGACATTAAAACAGAGCCTAACAACTTATCCAATCACCAAATCCATCAAGTGACATGTTGGGGGAAGAGATCCCCGAACTTCAAGTAGTACGACTGCTTTCATTCATATCCGGACGGCGCGAGGAGACGGCGTTTCGGCTGCGCCGTCAAACTGTCCGAAAACCCAGAGAAGAACATCAGATTGCAGCCGACCACAGAGCTCAACGGCTGCAAAGACAAAGGGGAAGTCACAACCGCTAACCCTAGATCGAGCTGCGCAAACCTTTCCCACTTCCTTCGTTTGTTTCTCTAGTTGTCCAGGGATTATATCTTTCACTCTTATTTATTTCTCCCAACACCCATTTCCGAACCTCCTACGTGGCAGTTTTTAAGAGTACGGTGCCTGCAGGTGCATAAGAAAAGCAGTGGGAAAACAGTATCTACTTCACATAAAAGGCGTCAAAGTGTGTGTATTAATATATAGTTTGTTATCTGTTGCAGATTCGAAATTTTACAATGCTTTCTGTTGCTGGAGGATGCCCTGGTTCATGGCCCTGCTGTTATTTGCACCGAAAAGTTGACTACGAATTTGCACTCGTGTGATCGCCTGAAGTGAAGGAGGTCACGGTTTTGTCTTATCAACGGGTAGGACCTGCAGCTGAGGTAATGTTGCAGTACACGTCAGCGAGTACATGTTTTTGGTCGCTTTCGTAGGTGGAATTCCTGCCGTTCAGTGAGTTGAGGATACGGTGCACTCCAGTTGGATTTCAATGAGAAGTTATTCATAGAAGCTTCCATTTATTTTGTTAGTTTTTTTTTCTTAATTATGTTAAAATAGACATTAAATTAAGCAATTTATTTTGAGCGTAATATATTTACATTTTAAATTATTTTATTTATTTTAAATCAAGTACTAAAATTCTTCTAAATAGCATTGAAATTCTAAATACAAGTTCAAAAAAAATACATATATAGAAATAAAATAACAAATAACAAATAAAACAGCTAATATGTCCATATAAGTTTATGTTCATTTGTCTCTTTATTTATCATCATCAAATATTTTAAAATAAATACAGCAAAACAAAAATAACTCATAATATTTTAGATTCACATCGTTTATGTGTCTTTTTTATAACTGATGAGTTAACTGTCGGAAAAGTGACACGTCAGTCGTTTTTTGTGTGATCGTCTTAAGTTGTCGATTATGTGTCGGTAAAATGTCAATCACAATGTCAACAAACAAGTTTAGAACCATCGCAAGACAGACGATAAGCTGTCAAAAGCTTGTAGTATAAGGAAAAAATACTTTTTTTTCTTTAGTATTTATATTACTATGCCTACTATCACAATGTTCAATATACAATTTCAAGCATTTAATGAAATAACATAGTTGTCAAATAGTAAATTATCCAATTAAATAATGAAATAAATAAAATATATTTACTGTAAAAAATGTACATCACTATTCACAGAAAAAATACAAGTTCAAATGTAGATAAATATAAAAAAAAAGAAAAAAGCCCTTCTTAATCAACCTACTCTAACTCCTTAACCTCATTCTCATCGTCTTACGTTGATTCCTCCTCCTCTTCCAATGTTGTCGTTGCCTTGTCAAGTTCCCTCATCCGCTGCCAAAAGGAACCCTATTCAGCCAACTGTTTGGCCTTCATGTTCGCTACAACTCCAACCTCATCAGACTAAAGCGGACCTCCATCTCGACAACTAATGTCGCAACATGTCTGGAAATCTCCTATCCTGTGTGGTAGAGTTAGAGGCAGCAAGTGCACTGATAGTGGGATGAATAGGCAAGCCATAATAACTCGAGCCTGTAAACTCGACTCTTCTTCTTCCCTCCAACGACCTCCCTCTGCAGGTAGTGCTCGGAAGGATCTCACTTGCGGAACTAAAGGTTTTAGGATTAAACTCCCCATGTGAAGTCCAGATCCAATAACCTGACTGCAATCCTCAACAACATAGATCATTTTTCACTTCGTCAGGCGTCAAGTGTGCCTGATTTCTATGTTTCAAACATAGACACCGAAACCTCCTCTCCGATAGGTAAATCTGCAGTAAGAAACAACTACGATAAATTCCTTGACACCACTCAAGAACTCTTGGGTGATCCCTTTTCTATCCAGATAAAGTTTGTTGTACATTCACGATCTCGATGTACGAATATCCATGTGTACGTTCAAGCATGAGAATAATAAATATATTATAAAATGCATTCAGTTGAATACATTGTATTTAATTATTTCAGTATATCTAATGACTGATTCGTAACAAAATATGATGAAACCAGACCATAATCAACACATTTTATAAAGTGTGAATGTTTTAGATAGCTTTGAAGTCAAAATGTGAACACATGTTAAGGTTGTTAGGGCTGTCGAAGACCGATTATTGACGAAATGTCTCCATATTTTTCTTTAATCTTGGTTGTTACTGTATCTACAACAACCCTTTCACGAGTATAATTTTTTCACAGTTTCTCTTTTAGTGTAAAGCCACTTATCCACCTAAGTATTCTCGTTTCAACAACTCTTACTAGACCACTTTCACATGATGTTTTAAGAGTTTTTACTTCATAATGCAATAAGAAATCCAATTTTCTTTCTCAAAATGCAAATACACTTCAAACATTTTTATTTATGACATTGTATAACATATTGTTTTAAGTGAATTTCCACTTTAGGAGTGGAAACTAGATTACTTATTAGATGATGAAGTGAACACTCTAGCTACATCATGTGAAATATTTCCTTATTAAATTTTATTCAAAAGGTGTGAAAGTGATTTTGTTAAAGTTGTGAGGATGATGATGCTTAAGTTTATGATTGGCTCTTTACTCGAAGAAAAATATACAACAGAAATATGTCTGTGTGAAGGTTAGTGTCGCAATAGCCACATACAATATTAGAGAGAGTTGTCCTTATGGATCGTGAATCAATGTTCGCCAATAATGATCTTTGACGGAACTGACAGTCTCTAAAATATCAAATGACACAACTTATAGTAGATCTAATTTTCAAATCTAACATTGTTTGTCACCATGATAACCCAACCGTTGGATGAGTTTATTTATTTCACATTTTATTTTCCAAATGGAAAATAAATCATAGCTCTAAGCATACTCGTCACCATAAAGCCCATACGTGATTAACTGCACGCTTGAAAAAATTTTCTTAGAAAAAATTATTTCATACGATGTAAGAGTTTTCACTGCATCCTCTAGTCAGAAGTCTAATTTTCACTGTCATAATGAAAGTTCACATCGAATTCTAAATTGTCTATTCCAAAATGAAAAGTCATTTTGAAATCTAATTTGCATTGTCAAATAAGAATTGCAACAATGAAATTTAGATTTTGTTGTGAATTTTTATCTTATAACTTACAAATTAGATTACAAAAGTGAATTTTCATTATGGTTGTGGAAATTAGACTTCGCACTTAAGGATGTAGTGAAAACTCTTACATCACATGAAATTTTTTTTTATAAGAACATAGTTTTAGGTATGCAGTCAATCGTGTAAGGGGTTACAACAATGAGAATGTTTAGTTCTATAATTATCTTTACACTTGAGAATAAGATATAAAACAAATATGCCTATGATAGGGTTGTAGTAGCTATAGTTGTTGGTAATATTAGAAAAGACATCATATAGTCCAAATAAACCATCAAAGTTACTTTTTCTTAATAATAAACAACAATTATCACTCCAAAATTGACTAATTTTAATTTTAACTCGGTTTGCCTTAGAGTCAATAATACATGAGCTTGAAATTAGAATGTTAGCTTCATATTGAGACTGTTATGGTTGTCGAAGATCAATAATCGACGATCAATTATTAATATTTTATCTCAAATTTTATCTTCCAATATAGTTATACCAACTCTTTCACGAGTATATTTCTTTCACATTTTCTCTACAGGTGTAAAGCCAGTGATCTACTAAAGTATTCTTGTCTCAATAATGCCTCTTACTATATTACTTTCACACATCTAAACAGATTCTGAGAATGAAGTATTTCATATGATGTAAGAGTTTTCATTTCTTGAGTTTTCATTTCTTCTTCCTCCAATGGGAAATCAAATTTTCTTTGTCAAAGTGAAAATTAAATTTCCCATTTAAGGAAGAAATGAATGCTTTTACAACATATGAAATACTTTCTTCTCATAATCTATTTAAATGTATGTAAATAATCTACTTAAAAGTTGTAGAAATGATAATGCTTGGGTTTATGATTGGAATTTTACTTTGATACAAAGTATGAAAAAAAATATATCTGCGAGATGGCTGGTTTAACTACAGTGACATGCACTATTAGAGGGAGACGCCTTAATCAATTACAAGTCAATATTTCATTGTTCAATGATCTTCGATAAAACAAACATTACTAAAATGTTAAATGATCCAATTTCGAGCCGAGATGATGTAGGCTCCAAATATCTGATCCAAAATTTGACTCGTACCTCAACATGTTTATTTCAACTCAAGTTTCTTGTGCGAGTCGAACTTAGAATAAATTTCCGAGCAATTATCATTTTTCGAACAAATTCCTATTCCTGATTTGACTTGTATCTATGAATTTGATAATTTTGGATTTGCAAGATTTATTCAAACACATTCAAAATAACTCTCACTTTTAACAGAACATCCCTTTAATCTAAAGACCAACAATCTGCGCCACCATCTTATAATTTTTCTTATAAGTCTAAGCAATATTTTCTATCACACAACAGGTCGGATGCATTCCTCCACTTCAACCAACCAACTTGAAATCTACAAATTAATCACATTTCCATCTATATCACCATCACTTTGAACAAGAGACATGAGATATCTAGAACGTTCACACTTTTAAACAAATTTATCAGCAGAGATACTACTACTACTAAAATTACATTTCAAGTATTCAGTTCTAGCTCTAATCAAATTAAGGACTTTGGACTCCAATATTGGTCTCCATAATTTAAGGGTTTCCTAAACTCTTTCTCAAGTCTTATCCACAAGAAGGATATCACCAACGAAAATCATACATTAAGATGCATCCTTCTGCACATGTCTAGTAAGAACATCCACAACTAAAGCAAAAATATATGTGCTTAAAGCCGATCCCTGATGTAATCCAACTGAAATAGGAAAATATTAGGCAAACCTCCTAGTTGCTAAACCCTAAATCCTATATGCATTCTTCATAGCAAATTAAAATAAAAATGAAAATGAAGATAACAAGTTACGATCCTTTATCGTTTCGGGTAGTAGAGGAGTGAAAGAAGGCAAAAAACGAGTATTTCTTGTCATTGTATGCCATGATCTCGCCGCCTTG